TTATAATTATGTAGCTCAGTTACTATTTGTAAGAAGTAACTAGTAACAATAATTAATTAATCTTTTAAAGAAGCATGCCCAACACTGTTTGTCATCATGCAGCATTAGGTTGCTGGTTTATTTGTAAAATGAACCTCACTTTAACAGACGCGTCTTTATCAATCATTGAATTATGCAAATTTAGTTTTTTTGCAAATCGAATGTTGCATTCTCCTTGTTTCGCATATTGCGATTTACCTTTCAAATTGCATCATCCCGATCTTTGATCACTTGTCACATCTTGTATTCTCCCTGCCTCTCCTTCATTCAATTTCTCCTCTGCACATTTCCTTTGGGTACACTTGAATGCAATAATTCAAATGGAACAATTCCACCAGCACTTCTTGTGTCTCTCCTAGAGATGTGTCTGAGGTACAGCTCATTAATTAACACACCACTCTGTTCAATTTGTTCAGTCATTTAAACCAGGAAATAATATAGCAGGCCACTGAAGTCTTTTTTAGCCTTTAACAGACGCGGAAACAAATGGCAACATCAAGATTGCAATTGTAGGTTGCGCGCATTTTCATAATGTGTTTTCGGGTGTACGTGGGTGGGGGACTTCTTTTCTACTGCTTATTGTTGTCACATTTCTCTCTAAAAAAAAAAAAAAAAGCTGTACGGATTATTTCCTAGAGCAGTTTCCCCACCAGACAGATTATTTCAAAGGAAATTTGCATGCTTGTGGGGAATTTCTTATTTTCCTTCCAGCATCTTACATTGCCCATGTGGCAAAAAAAGTGTGGGATTACAGAGAAAAATGACAGCAACAGCGAGTTGTATTAAACAGTGAAACTTTGATATTTCAAAGGCGTATTACACATGACGATTCCATTATCTTTCATAAAGCTACAGCTCAAAAGCTGCAGAAAGCCCCTAGGATTGTATCGAGCCACAGTCATTGACCAACAGATGTGTATCCTGTTACTCAGTTCGGCAACAGCAGCCGCCACTCCACTACACCCAGAGGTCTATTAGTGCAGCGGGGGAGGAGGGATCGGGAAGGACTTTTGGTGTCATGTTGTAGTCCCATATGCGCCCTCTCTTTGATACAGCGCAGAGCCTACGCAATGATGGACATGATGTATTAGAATCTGTGATCTGTCATACTGTGCATCCCTGGGGGCACTGGAAGCACATAATCCGATGAAGCTATTGAGAGCATATATATATTAGACTGGCTGTGTCTGGCAAAGAAGCTCTTTGGTGTTTAATGTGTTTGTAATGGATTGGCTTTCAGGGGCATTAGCTCATCCCTTTAAGAGGTTTTCATATCTGTTTTCATAGGCCACAGCCACACCAAAAGGTGTTCATACCTCTGAGCGTATGTGAAACCCAATCTTCAGGCTTTTATAATTCGAACCTTTCTGTTGAAAGAGCACAATGATAAACGTCAGAAATGTAATGAAGCGGAGAGAAGCTGCCTTGAAAGAAGAGTCTCAAAGATGTCATTTGCTTCAGAGAAAGTGGCACTCGATAAGTCGCACCTTGGCTGAGGAATGCTTTGGTCAGAAATGTTGTGACATTATGTTTCGATGCTCTTTGTGTAAACCAGGGGTTCTCAAAATCTCCACTCTGGTCTAGATTCAAACTCGTAGAGAATTCAATCTGGAGCCACCTCGGTTTTACTAATTGTGTGTAAGGGATTAAAAGTGTCGGTTTTGACATGCTGTGTGTAAAACGCATGTTATACATGTAATCTTGTTAGTCTTTTTGGCAATGATTTGAAATGAATCTACAGGCAACAGTTTTTCTGCGCACTGCTGTTGTAATGACATTCAGTCAGTGTATGACATTTGCTGTAATCAGGCAGCACTCTTCACTGCAGTGAGAGTTTCAATAGGTGAGGATGTCACTTTCAAGATAACAATTTGAGTTTTTTAAAGATGATGGTAGCAAGAGGTATGCATTCATTTTGCTCCAATCCAGCACAAAGTTGTGCTGTTTGATTAATAATGAGATAGTTGAGTTGTGAAGAGTGTAAATGTCAAATGCTATGAAACAAAACACTATAAAATAAAAAAAAATATTCAGCTGATGAATACATAAAGTGCTATTTCTCAGAGAAAGGCTGGTTTAAACTTCTGCGTCAAGTGATTGGCATGACCCACGGCCAGTACCAGTACTTTCCAAGGGGCATGTGCTAGAAAAAAATGAAGCGGGGGGGTTGGGGGATTGAGGTGGACTGGTTGAAGGTCGCGAACTGAAGACCAGGGTGCACTTTACAGCAACAGTTTATCCTATCCTATCCTATCCTATCCTATCCTATCCTATCCTATCCTATCCTATCCTATCCTATCCTATTCGTTATTTCATTTTTGAGGGCCACTTTTTATCCAAAAGAAAAAAGGCCATGTGCACAGGTTGAGCCCTATCTGTGCACATGCCTGCCCCCTTCTGGCAAGATTCTGAAGTGTGCATCGGATAGACGCTATGCTATCCCATGATGCCCCGTGAGAGAATTTGTGAATAGGAGCGATGTAAAGCGCATGCATGTGTAAGTCACGTGATCATGACAAAATGGCTGATGTAGTACCTCCGAGTTACATTCATACAACTGCCAATTATACTGTAAAGAACGTACTTTCCTAACGGCAGAGTAGTATGTTTAAATTCTGCGTAGTAGTACTACTGCGTAGTAGGCAGTTTTGGATGCAGCCTACAAGTAGCTAATATTTACTCATTCAGGGGCGAGAACCAGTGGATGTGCAACAACTTTAATCATAAGGTAAACAAAAAACAAAAGTTTTCCATCTGGAGCTACTTCATGGGACTCAACACTTGTTAACACTCCCAGACCATACTTGTACGCTTAATGCAGAAGTATAAATCAGCTTTAGATTGCTCTGAGTTTTGCACTATATTTCTTTTGACCCGGTTGTGTTTTGATCATATATGTAATTTTTTTATGGTGATTTATGTATGTGCATTTTGATTAAAATCAACAGACATTTTTCTAGACCTTTGACATGGAAGAAAATTCAGATTGGGTCCTGAGTTGAGACTTTGAGAACCCCTGCTGTTGACGTTTCCTTTGTTGTCCTGTAGGATAGCTTGGCACATCATTCCAAATTTCATAGTTAAATTCCTACTTAAGAACTCTCTGGGCGATTGCAAGGGCAGAGGACCCACCACCTTCCACTCCATCCCCCTCGCTTTATTCAAATGTATCTACCAGGGGCCGCTGGTTGAGGAAAAGAGAATAGCTAATTCGCCGGTGATCTTCCCACTAATCCCCCACTCTTTGCCTGAAGGCGCTCAAGCTATGCATCCCTCCCCCAAACCCAGCCCCCCTAACAAATACACCCTCCCTCACACAGACACATTCAGAGTCTGCCTCAACACGTCCAGTGGGAGCAGATGAATGTAATAGGGTAGTTTGTAGTCTGCCACGCTGGTGTCCAGGGAGGAGTGCCTTTGCTCTGGCTGTGAATGAGAGCTAAAGAGTTTATTACAGTTCGGGGCGAGGTGTGGTGAGACAGGGCGGTGTCTAGGCTTTGTCTCGGGCTGTAAGAGGAGAACGGGATCTGCTAGGAGGAGTCACACTCAAACAGGAACTGCAGAGAATAGATGGAGCGAGCGAATGTTGCTGTGGACTCACTCCGATCATGCTGCAGGGCAGGAGGTGCCTACGGAGCCTCTCAACAGGCACGAGTGATCAGTCTTTCTCAGATCTTTGAGCAGGTTTTGGATGCAGTTGGATTACTACAGAGAGGATCCTGCTAATGTGCTTTCAAGTTTGGAGACTTTGAACAGATTTTCAAAAGCTTGAACTGAGCTTGATCTCAATTTTTTCTACAGTTTGGCTTCAGCTGCATGGATACTCTTTTTGTGTGTGTGTTTGTACTTGTGAGGTGATTCAGGTTGTGAAGTACCCTGTTTAAATGCAAAGCATTGGTGGAATATGGGACATTTTGTTGTTCAAGGGGATTTGCCATGGATTCTCTGTTCCCTCCGACTAGTCATTATGATAAGTATGTTTTATTGTTTCTCAGATTTTCTGAAGGCATGTTCCATATTTTAATACAGTGCTAGTGGATGGACGGAGTCTTTAAATTATACAAGGTTGTTTCTTTTATACACAAACTTTGCCATAGAAGTGTTTTTAACAAAGCTTTGAAAGATTTACAGTGCTACTGTTACTGGTTTGGTCAGTTTTATCCTGACAGTATCTTTTCTTCTTGCCAGTAAAGGCAGATTATGATCTGCATATTGAAGTTTAAACAATCAATTGAATATCTAGTCTTAGGTAGTTAATCTCAGGAGCACAAGGGATAGAGATCAATGATGACGTCTGTGTACATTATGTTATCGGACAAAGCATTGCATGCCCGTCAATACTACTTCTCACTCCAAACAGTGAGAATTTTTTTTCAGCTCAGTCCTCTCGTTGCAGTCAGTGTATTCAGTTTATTGCTAATTATTTGAATTTATACATTTGGTCTTATATGAAACAGAAACTCGTTCTTTCATGCTATTAATCAGCATACATTCTCAACTGAGCTCTCGAGGCATGAAAGGGAGAGCAAGTCTTTAATTGAAAATCAATTTCTTACAAAAAGAGTAAATATTTACCCCGCTTCCAACATATACGTAAAAGTTCCTCAATTTATTTCTATGCAGTGAATAAGCTTTTCAGCACATCACAGCAAGTCACATGAATGCATCACAGTGAATTTAACCAGCACATTGATCCTAGTCTTGTATTTGTTTTACATTAAAAGCCACTTACCGTGCTATAATTCAAGGGTCATTCAATAAAAGGGTCATTTTAATGCTATACACATTTATAAAGGTGTATAAAGTTAAGTGGCCACTTAAGAGTTCATGATTCTGTTATTCCAGTGGTCTTTAATGAGCCAAGCCTGTTTTATCTGTTATAAACCTTTGGCTACACTTACTATAATCACTCCACATTTAACCAACTGTTTTTTTTTTTTCTTGTTTCTGTGTCTTTGCAGTTGCTGGTAAAGTTTCCCCTACCAGTTCCGATGCCCTCTTCAGTGTCCCTGTTCCCAGTGCCACCTCCAGCCCACCAGAAGTGTATCTCCCTGCCACCTTTAAGCTCTCCAACACACAGCTGGCCTTCTTTCTTCAGGAAAACCGAGCTCCATCATATGGCAGCCAGCGTGGACACCCTCTTCAGCGCTCGGAGAGCTTTGTGGTCTTCCAGACCAAGGAGCTTCCTGCGGTCAACATCTCACTTGGGCCTTTCACCCAAGACCAGACTTTGTCCAAGGATTTACTCCAGCCGTCAAGTCCTTTGGACATTCCTGGAAGGCTGACTGTCAACTGGAAGGTCCGGGCCTTTATTGTACAGTCTAGAGTTTATGCTAGTAACCCTCTGGTTCAGGTACTGTTCTATATTGCAGGCAGGGACTGGGATGACTTCAAGATTCAGGACAAGCTTCCATGTGTGAGGCTTCACGCTTTCAGAGATGTTCGGGAGATTAAAACATCCTGCAGGCTTCAGGGGAATCTGGCGCAGTGCTTGGCCCAACTGGACCTGCCTTCCACATGGTTTAATGTTAATGTAGCACCATTGGGCCGTAGAAAGTCCTCAGGGACGGATGGTCTTGAGCTGACTGGGGAGACTCTTCAAGTGGAGCTTTACTACACCCTCCATGATCCAGATAGCAATGATGAGTGTGGGGAGAGCTACCCACGCCGAGGAGGACCGTCCAGAGGCGAGAGCTTATCCCAACAACCCCTTCTCCGCATTGGGAGCATCAGTTTATACCAACCCAGTCAGGAACAACTGGTGGTAGACAAACAGCTTGACAAGAACCTCTTTCTGAGGCTGCCAGAACGGCCATTAAAGCCAGGAGAGACCCTCAACATCTATCTGCTCTTGGTTCCGAATTCTACAGTGGAGCAGTTTACGTTAAAGTAAGTTCTGCTTTTCTTATTTACATTTGCTTGGTGTGCTCCAGCAAACTATTTGTGCATATCAGTGTGTGTGTTCCTGCGTTTTTCACTGCCTCAGTGTCTTGGCCCTGATAATAATAATTGATTCACAAGATTAAAAAAAAAATGGATTTCCATGAGACAAGACACATCATAGAGGATCTAACTAAAGCTCTAGCGGAGTGCTAGGCTTTAGGAGATTGTGAGAAGGATTCTGCTTTTCAAAGTAAAGACATAATGGGTATTAATTGACATCTGTTCAAATTAAATTTCTCATGAGCTTGACCCAGTTCTTCTAGAATTAGAGCCAAGGGGATATGAGGCATATTTCTCATCTGGCCTCTGTGTTTTAATTTCGTTTCTCGTCGTCAACAGAATAGGAGGGCTTGGGTTCTTGTGTAGTAAAATTATTATTTAAATCCTTGAAGGTGGAGAAAATTTGCTTTTTTTTCCAAGATGTGAGAAATGGAAAGGGAGGAAGGATATTAGCTGGTCTTTGGGGCATGTCGAAGGAACGCTTCATAAACAAAGTTCCTCTAATTGTAATGGGAACTCACAGACATCAAATTAGAAATTCGCCACGAATTAATTAGGCTCTGATAACTCATTAACCCGAACAGGAGCAGGCAGAGCTGTGGTGTAGCTTTGGCTAGTATAGTTCATTTAGGATTTATTTGCTCAGCATATATAAGTACACCCCTCACAAATTTCTCTTTAAATTCATATTTGTATTAGGAAGCTATACAATATTATATGTGTGCATATGCATTAGATAAGTCAGTACTAAAGCCATATCTGGGGCTTATTTAACCAAATAACTTACGATAACCATCTAAAAACTAGTACACCCAAATTAATAAGTTATAGAAAAATATTAAATACAAATTTAAACAATAAAGATAAGCCAAAAAGATTAAGAAAAAAATATATAATAATTAGTTGAAATTTTGTAGGTTGTTTATTTTTTGCAACATTTTGCTTGAATTTAATTGTAGTATCTTTGAATTTCTAAATATTTTTGGTGACTAAGATATAATTTTAATAAACAAATCTGTTTAATAAATCTGTTTTGGTTAAATGCACCAAAATACATTGCCTATATTCACTGAGAAATGGATTATTCAAAAATATTCATTTTCAAAATGGGGTGTACTCAAATATGCTGAGCACTGTATCTATCATAGACTAAATATATAATCAGTGGAGTGATCTGTAATGGACCCTTAACAGTCATTGTTGGTAATACAGTGTATACTATATATTTACATGAAGAATGTAAAGGTGCACTGCCATTTTACAGCATTTGTTTTGCATACTGACACCTTGTGGTATGGACGCAGCATCACACTTATCTAGTGCAAGACATGGTTCATTTACTCAGCAAGCAAACATTCCTAAAATAAAGCAGTCATATAATCTTAACATGTCAGTCTCAGTGAGACAGATTTAAAGAAACAGTTTTTATTATAGGTTACAGATGATGTGGAACGTGTCCATTATTAAAACAAAGTGGACTTTAAAATTGCAGAGTAGATGTGGGCATTTCTTTATTTCTTCTGTCCAGAGAGTAACAGACTATTGCTGTTTGTCACTATGAGCATCATGATCCGTTTTCAAAACCCAATCCTCTTAATGTTATGGCATATGCTGAGAATTATCCTCAGCTTGAAAGTGAAATCTGCGAGAGTTATCTTCATACTAGGGCATTTTAGCTAAAAAAGCATCCCATAAACCTGATTGATGTAGTAAAGAAGCATTGCCTAATTTCTATACCATGCCATAGGAGAATGATTTAATACCTTTATTTTTTTGCCAATCTAATATCTTCGATGAACGTTCATCCGCAGTAGTTTTTCAGTTTGCCATGATATTAAATTCCGAACAGTAAATCTCTCTGACCTCATGCTTTTATGCACTCGTATTGGAGTTTTTTTTCGTGGTCCAATACGGGGGCATTAATTCTCCAAGGAAAAGCTGAAGAGCAATAAAAGCCCGGGCAGAAAGAAAAGAGATGAAAGTCAGAAGTTGAGAGCTCTAAGCCAGTCAACTCATTGGGAGGTGAATTAAACTGTGCTGCGAGCCAAAAGTTGAAGGATACCAACAAAAAAGGCTATTAAAGATGTAATAAAGGAAGTCTTTAAATATGAATTAAGCTCCGCTGAAGTTGCCCGCCACTTCACATTCCTTCCCACCATCAGGTCCTTTCATTTTCCCTACATTGTAAGACTGTTATTTATAGAGATCGCATCTTAAAGGGATTAATCAGTGTGGAAATATATTACATTTTGAGTCCACACTATTAACCTGCTAGTCTTTATAGAGTGAATCACTGCCTTGTCGTTGTAGAATGCCCATGAAAAACTGTTCTACATGTAAAAACTGAAGGAAATGACAATATTTGGGTCTGCCAGGGGGCTACTTCAGAGCCGTTGAAGCAATACAAGATTGTTGCGAGTATCTTATTAGCATTTAAATGTCTTTTAAATTAAATTGGCGACATTAGTACGTGTACAATCGGCTCGCAGCGATTCAGGCAAACAGCTGTTGTGAGGCAAAATCAGGGGTACCATTCAATCATTTGCCTACCCAGGAGGTCACAAAACAAGTCTAAATAAAATGTTTTGAAGCTGAAAGCAGAGCTGTTGAGTTGTACAGAAACAAAACACTTAGTCTTCTGGCAAAAATCAGAATGATTCGCTAGTGGTTATTAATAATGGTGTTAAAGTATAAAAGCGAACAGTGTTCCGGAGTGCAGCTTCTCTCATTTTTATTTTATTTTATTGGCTTGCAGGCTAAATCAACTGCATAACAAACTTTGAAGGAGGGCCAAATTTAGGGACTGAAATATCTTGTAGGTAGGACCCATGGGTTTAAGCCAGTAAGCAACCACCCAAAACTTCTTACTAACCACCAGCTTTATTAAAGCAACAACCCAAAATAGCCTAGAAACTGCATGGCAACATGATAAAATCAATTCTTAAGCAGTGAGGAGGTGAGATTGCACTTTTTCTTTAAACAACGTGTATATGAATAACTATATGCATTAGTTTGGGAATTATTTTTGCCACCATTAAAAACAAATTGCCTCCACTTATCACACTGAGATTTGGTCAGCAAACAGTGAAGTAATAATGGAAAAACAATGTGCTGTTTCTTTTTCAACACACTTTGTGCCAACTACAAGGTTTATAGTGACTCATTTAACCTTTGCATACATATTTAATTTTATTTTATTTTAATTTTATTTTATTTTATTTTATTTTATTTTATTTTATTTTATTTTATTTTATTTTATTTTATTTTATTTTTAATTTAATTTAATTTAATTTAATTTAATTTAATTTAATTTAATTTAATTTTTTATTTGATTTAATTTTGTTTCATTTAATTTTATTGTTTTGTATGTTTTTGTTGTTTTGTTTTGTTTTATTTTTTACTTTATTTTATTTTGTTTTATCTTATATTCATTTTATTTTACACATATTTGTCATGTTTGATCCTTTTGTAGATCATATAACATAAAGAATCTGAAGCTCATTGTCAAGAAGGGGAAAAAATATTTGAAAAATATAATTTCGTCATTATAAACTGAACATATATATATATATATATATATATATATATATATATATATATATATATATATATTCAAATAAACTATTCCCTAAAACTTGTTATTTCATTCATTCATCTTCCTTCGGTTTGATGCCTTATTTAACAGGCGTCACCATGGCGTAATGAATCGTCAACTATTACAGCATATGTTTTACGCAGGGAATGCCCTTCCAGCCACAACCCGGTACTGGGAATCACCCATACACTCTCACATTCACGCAGTCATACACCATGACCAATTTAGCTCATCCAATTCACCTATAGCGCATGTCTTTCGGCTGTGGGGGAAACCGAAGCACCCGTAGGAAACCCACGCCAACATAGAGAGAACATGCAAACTCCACAAAGAAATGACAACTTGCCCAGCTGGTTCTCAAATCAGAGGCCTTCTCGCTGTGAGGCGACCATGCTAACCACTGAGCCACTGTGCCGTCTTATTTCATGCTTAGGTTGCTTCCACACCTGCGTTACGTAGTTCGGTTGACTCGCACTAGAGTTCGTTTTCCTCTTGGTGCAGTTCATTTGGGCAGCTGTGAATGTAGTAATCTCATTCGAGTGCCCACCAAAAGTAGACCAAAAAAAGCATGCCGAGACCTTATTGAAGAGGTGGTCTAGGAGGTACGCTTACAAACGAATCTTGGAGCTGTTCATTTGTGGTAAGAACATGAACTAGAACAGACCCAACCGCAAAAAGTACTGCAACTTTTTGGACTAATCCAGCTGTCGTAGTCCGATGCGCTGTGCATTATGTAATGTGGAGGAAATATATTTGTTGACAGCACTTTACCAGCAATTTTAAACAGAGAGAGAGAGCGGGAAACACATCACCTGATGGATCATTGGTAATATTTCCAGAAGATGAACATGTCACAGTTTAGCTAAATTATTTTGCTGTTAAATGTATTAAATGCATTGTTTTCCAGCCGAAGCTGCGCTTTATTCTCGAAATTTATATTTTGCCTAAAGTGATGTGTACGAACTATATAGAATACTATGACCAGGGATACAATCATCCAGCGCAGTCGTCCCTCCATAGTAAAAAGAGATGTTTGTGTCTGCCGGTTTGTTTACTTGCGGGAGTTCCATTGGCATTTTCCTGCACATTAATTCTGACCAATCAAAAAGCAGTTTAGGAAATACTTTCAATAACATCTTGCCAATGAGTGATGTGGATTTTGTCAGATGACTGCATTTTGATTCTTTTCAACTGGTTTGGACCAAAACAATCAATGTGGTGTGAAAAGGACCCAAAGACGGCAGAAAAATGCTACAATATATCATTTGTTGCTCTTGGTCCGAACCATTTTAACCAAACCAGAGATGTGAAAGCACCCTAAGATTTCATTAATTTAATTATTTCCTAAAAT